GACCTGCTGGGCTCCGGCGATTCTTCTGCCTCAGCCTTCCAAGTAGCTGGAACTACAGGCTACCACGCCCGGATAATTTTTGATTTATTGTAGAGATGAGGTCTCGCCAAGTTGCCCAGGTGGGTCTCGAACCCGCAGGTTCAGGCAATCCACTCACCTGGCCTCCCAAAGCACGGGATTACAGGCTGAGCCACCGAGCCCGGCTGGAACTTCATACTCTTATAGGAGACCCTGCAAGGGCATTTTGAAGGAATCATCAAAATAATTTTCTTCCATTAATATGATCTAGAAGGTCTGTCTTTGTACAATTGGATTTGTGCTTTCTGAAATTGGTATGCAATGCCACAGTCATTGGCCTCACAGGGAGGCCAGCAGCATTGCAGGGAATGGGTGAAGAGCTCAGGCTGCCTGGATTCAAGGCTCACTCTTTACTGGTGAACTGTGTACCCTTGGCTAAGATACTATTTTTGAGCTCCAGTCTTCTCACCTGAAGAGTAAGGATGTTGCCAGAGGTCCTGTGTCGTGGGGTGGCTCAGACTGTATGAGTCATAGACATGAGAGTGACAACGGTGCTTGTGCTCAGTGCCAGCCAGGGCTATTAAGGGGCTTAGGAATGGGAGGCAGTGAGGCTGTGTCTTGTCCCCTGTACCAGACCACAATCCTCTTGGGAGCTGGTGCCAACTTACATACCGTGACACCCTACTCAGGGGCCTGAGCTCAATGAAAGTTTGGAGATGCTTTGGATTTCTCCTGAAAGGGAAACAGAACTATTCTCCTTGGACAGATGGTGGAAGACATATTTCTCCTCTAAGGGGATCTTCTTCATCCTGAATCCCTGCCCTAGGATCTGTCACTGATGTCTTCTGCTGGTCTGTCTAATCCAAAATTCTAGAGCACCCTTTGTCTTGACTCGGGCAGCTCTAGGGAGAGGCCCTGTGGTGTCTGAGGCTGGCTGCTGAGCAGGCTGGGGAGGATCTGAACTAGAACCTGGCTTGTCTCCCCAAGCCCTTCTTTGGCCTCCTTCGTTATAGAATGCCACCTCTTCTGCTGCTGTCATCCTGGGGTATGGACCCTTGGACTCTGGCTTTTACCTTGAGCATTCCTCTTGTTATGCAGACCTCAGAATTTTCTCGGCAGTGGAAGCTGTTTGTGTTCCTGGAGCCTAAAACGCTTGGTCATGAGGGTGTGAGATTAATGGGTTGGTATCCGGTTTCCTGGCTTCTGCCCTGAGCGAAGGGCTGGGGCTCTGGCCTCGGGCCTCTGACATCCTGCATCTACACTTGTGTGCTCTGCCCACCCATGGGCAGTCCCTGGAGACTCCCTCTTGCCTCCTTGCCTTACTTCCAACTGCCCTCAGGATTCTTGCATCCAGGGGCTCATGACATTTAAATGGATGGAGATAAATCTTGGAGCAGTTTGTCTAAACTAGCAACTCCCTGCTTGGGCGTGGATACCCTCCCATCTTCTGGCCCAGCTCTCAGTAGTGAGGTCAGCAGTTCCACATGGGCCTTGCTTCTGGATGCCCTTTGCCACGTACAGTGTGTTTCATGGAACCAGAACTGGTGACTTCACTTGTTGCTCTAGCAACCGAGCAGCTGTCACACCCACAGCAGCCAGCAGTCCAGGGGGTCTCTGGGAATGACTGGCCAGTGGGCATACCAGTGCTGAGCCCACCAGCAGGCTGGGTCTGTCAGGCCCACTTTCCTCAAAGCCAGGGTCTCGGGTGATAGATGGGAATAACAACCTAATGAAGACATGATCATTTTAGAATTTTGGGTTAGACATACCAAAAAGATTTCTGAGTTTGGCATTTTCCACCATTTCACTAAAGGAAGTGGCACTCTGGATGAAGCGAGGCCCTGGGGGTGGCATGGGGGTCTGCAGCACTCCCTTTTCTGCCTGTCTACCTTCCATCACTTCTCTTTGTCACCTCCAATATGTCCCCAAGGAACTCAGTTTGAAAACCCTCTAGAGGTGCAGTCTAGCTGCCTTACAAGTGTCAGTTCCTTCTCTGCCCCTTGTCAGCCCGCTGCCTATCAACTGTGACTCCGGGAAGACCCCAGTAAGAGGTGTCATTGTTTTGGACCCTTCACCCCCCGGGGTGACATGCCATGCACGGGGCCCTCCCCACACTTCCCAGAGTAGCCAGACCTTGACTTCCCATCCGAAGCCCACATCTCTCCAGCACCGTCTTGTTCATGCCTCTTCTTGCCCTCGACTGGGGATGCTTTCTAGAAGGACTTGGCTCCCCAGCATTGCTGAAACCCCAGCCCACTCATTCTGTCCATTCGGCTCGAATCAGTTGAGCATCCACCAGGCGGCAGGTGCTGTGCTGGGTGCCAGGAACGTGATGTGAGCAGAACAGGGCCACCTGGCCCAGGTCTGCCGAGACTGGCGATGTAGCCCTGCCCCCGCCCTCCTTCAGACATGAGTCCCAACACAGGTGACACTGGGGTCATTGACCATGTACCACATAATATGTTTTACTGGAGGCACTTCTTGCTCTTTTATTTCCTAGTGAATTATTATTTTTTAAAATTATCTTTACAGGGCCTTATTGGAAGGAGAAAGTAATCCAGAGATAGTGATCTGGACTAAGGACGTTGAAATCATGCCACCAGGTAAAAGGAAAGCTAATATTTAACTTTAAAATGCTTCCCATCTGAACTTTTTATTCCGTGGCTAGAGAGTAAAGCACCACTCATCTGAGTTAGACATGGTTTTTAGATAATGGCATTTCATCTCTCTTTAGGGTACCAGATAGGGTTTAGTTTAATGGAACATAATGCTAATTATAACATAAATGAGAATGTGTGGGAAAGTGTTTCATAAACGCATGTCCATCTAGCCTGTAGCTTAGGGCTGCTTCCTAGCCATGGGTGCAGAAGCAGAAGGGGCTGCTGGTATTAGGTAACATGGAGGGCAAAGAGAACGTCCCCATAGACTTGTTCATCACACCCTTGGGAGGAATGCACTTTCCCTTCTCCAGAACAAAGGGTTATGGTTGTAATACACTTTCCCTTCTCCAGAACAAAGGGTTATGGTTGTGGTTATGGTTGATTTAGACAGCAGGCAGGAGATACTCTGGAACCTGGTACTCCAGCAGGGCAGAGATGGGAACCATCTCCAGTAACATAGGTTGGTGTGGGCAGCTCAGGAAAATGTGTCCAGGTGCCTTAAGACTGTCTTAGTTCATGCCAAGAACTCAGGACAGGCCCATACCTCCTATGGCTGCAGAACCAACATGAGAGAATTAATGTCATTAGAAAGACCCTAAGAACCTGTAGGATAACTATTGTTTAAACCTTTTAAAGCCCTATGGAATCTTAAAGAGCTTCTGGCTAAGCAAGGGCAGATTAAATTACATATAGTCTGTTCAATATATGCCATACACAACCTAGTTTTAGTCATCATTGTTTCTATTAGGCACCTAATGGATTTGACAGGTCACTGGGTTCAGAGTCATGATTTTGGTTCTGATCATTAATAACTGGAAGAGATTTGGTCTTAACATGCAGCAAATTTACTTTCTAATTTTAAGAGCAAATTTGAAAAAAGCAAAGATGTTCATGGAAGGCCCTTTTTTAAGCCAGTCTGGCATCAGTTAACATATGGCTTTTATAAAATAAGTATTATTTATTCACTAGATTTTTCATCTGCATTCTTTTTTAGTAGGGTCTCCCTCTCTTGCCCAGGTTGGAATGCAGCGGCATTATCATGGCTCACCGAAGCCTTGACCTCCTGGGCTCAACCAGTCTTTCTACCTCACGCGCCTGAGTAGCTGAGACTATAGGCACATGCCACCATGCCTGGCTAATTTTTAATTTTTTTTTTTTTTTTTGGTAGAGACGAGGTCTTGCTATGCTGCCCAGGCTGGTCTCAAACTTCTGGGTTCCAGCAATCCTCCTGCCTTGTCCTCCCAAAGTGCTGGGATTACAGGCATAAATCACCGCATGTGGCCAGGCACCTACATTTTAAACATGTGGGTACATAAGTCTGGATATCCATCACATAACCTAGAGAGGAGGGTGAGAGAAGAAAGAACCCAGGATTGAGCTCTAAGCGGGGACTAACATTCTAACTCTTGGTCTTGGCCATATACGACCACTTTGGAGCCTAGGTAAAGGCCAGTGGGTTTCTCTGTTAATGTGCTTCATTCATTCATTGTTTTTTAAGCTTCTTGAAGGATATAGAGACCTGATATTTAGGAACTAAATTTATTTTAGCAATTACAAATTATGCCAAAAGAAATAAAGCTTTAGAATAAAGATTACTACTTGTGAACTTCCAGGTAGTTCTGTGCCAGTTGCATAAGTATATAGATGAGTTCCTAGATAATGAATCTATCAATACTTACTAGTGTTCTTATTTCTTTTGCAATATTGCATAAAGTAATGTTGGTCACTTAACCAGTCTGTGATCATTCGCATTTCTTTTTGAGCTTTAGTTAAAAATAGGGTGGTTCCTGCAATGTTTCCTGGGGGTTCATCTTCTGGGACGTTCCAGTTTAGGATCACTATGTTGACCTGAAAAGAGGAATCTTTGTGACAAATGTCCTAGCCTGGTCTCTTTCCTGTAACTTGGCATCTGTCTGAAGGAAGCCTCTGGCCTTGGCTGCCATGAGGGAGACGAAGGAGGAGGGAAAGCTCTGTCCCTGCTCAGCCAGCTGGGGCATAGGTAGACACCAGGGACACCCTCAGGGTGAATGGTACTCTGGCCACATTCTAACTGCCAGCTGCTATTTCCTAAGTACAGGTTACCCTGGTGGAGTTTGGATACCCCAAAGGGTAGCATGCTCTGCAGACAGCCCAGAATAAGACTGGAGCTCCAAAAACTGCCTCTCCATGCCAAGGTCATTGACATTAAAACAGACTGTGGTGTTTCTGCACTAGCACTTTTCCACACAAGGAGGTTGTCACGTGTCAAAACAGAAGAAATCAGAAACATTTAAAAGTTAAATTATATACTACTTATTGGGCCAATATAGAAATCAATGAAAAATAAGAGCATATCAAATAGTGAAGGGTAATGCTATTTGATGTTTCATAACTATGTACTTTGTAAATTAAAGAGTGTGTCTCTGCTAAGATAAGTAAAATAAACTTATTTATTAAGCTTATTAATTAAGAAATTAATGATTCTAAAATGTCATAATATCGTGAAATTTTTAGCCACAAAAACTAGCAGCTCTGACCTCTCTGGTATATGTGCTGTGCTTTTTGATCCATTTTGATATTTCTGTTAGGATGAGTGAACATTTTGAGATCAGTAACTGGAGAGAAGTGTTAGGCTAAACTATTTGTAGTGCCACCGTTTATTATAACAGGATTTTTTAAATTACCAAAAAATAATTTGGGCACTGAAAATATTTCATTATAATGCCCTTTCTGTTGTAATACTATTTGTATATTATGATAGGATGGGATTTGACCTACAACAATGCTTTTCCAATGAAGAAAGGTAATGATGTCTGCCATTTTAACAAACTGTTTGTTCAATTTCTACAGACTTTAGAAACAAATCCTGTCAATACACTGACTCAGTGTTACAGAGGGAAAATGAAAGAAATCTATTTCCAAGGCAGAAAGCACCTTTGGCAAGTTTAAATCACAGCTCAGCGCTATATTCTAACCTGTCAGGACACCTTGGCTCTCGGACAACTCCATCTATTGGAAGTGCTGCCAGAAGAGGCTTCCTGGGCTCAGGGTATTGTTCCTTGGCCACTGCCCAGCAGGAAAGCTCTTATGGAAAAACTGTCAACAGTCAAACCAATTCCAGAACTTTCTCTCCAACCTATGGTCTTTTAAGGAATACTGAAGCGCAAGTGAAAACATTTCCTGATAGACCTGAAGCTGAAGGAACAAGGGATGTCCCCATTTATCTAACAAAAGATTCCACAGTTTCCCAAGAGTCACACCGAGAACGCAGAGACCATGTGGTGGTAGGTGCTTCTGAAAGCACTTGGTCAAATGAGAGGACTGACATTTGGGAAAAGAAAACAGAAGCGAAAGCCACAAGAGAGCAAGAAAGAATTAGACCAGGAACTGCCAAAATAAAGCAAGAAGAGAAAATGTTTGATTCTAAAGAGAAGGCTTCAGAGGAGAGAAACTTGAGGTGGGAAGAACTGACAAAGTTAGATAAGGAAGCAAGAGAGAGAGAAAGCCAGCAAATGAGGGAAAGGGCTAGAGGGAAGGAGTCCTCAGAGGAGAAACTGGTGAGAGAAAGAGAGGTACCGATCCATGTTGAAGTATCCCAGGACAGAAGACCGGAGGTGTCTCTGAAAGGTTTGCAGATGCCCGGAAAGGATACTGGTGATGGTACAGGTAGGGAGGCGGACACAAGAGAGGCACGGTTCAGGCTGGGTACCGGTGACACCGCCAGCTCTCTGCTAGGTGACTCCATGACAGAAAACATCGCAGAAAACATTGTCACCAGTATCCTTAAGCAGTTTACTCAGTCTCCTGAGACAGAAGCATCTACTAATTCTTTTCCAGACACAAAAGTCACTTATGTGGACAGGAAAGAGCTTCCTGGGGAAAGGAAAACAAAGACTGAAATAGTTGTGGAGTCGAAACTGACTGAAGATATTGATGTTTCTGATGAAGCTGGCCTGGACTACCTTCTAAGCAAGGATATTAAGGAAGTGGGGCTGAAAGGAAAATCAGCTGAGCGGATGATAGGGGACATCATCAATCTTGGGCTGAAAGGAAGGGAGGGGAGGGCAAAGGTTGTCAATGTGGAGATCGTGGAGGAACCTGTGAACTATGTGGGTGGGGAGAGGGCAGACGAGTTTTCTGTCCCATTCGAAGTGGAGGAGGTTGATGATGTTTCTCCAGGCCCCAGGGGGCTTGTTGAGGAAGAGGAAAGTTATGATGAAGCCGATGTCACCTTCTCAGTGAGTCAACAACAAAGGACCAAGCAGCCCCAGGAGATCATCACTCATGTTGAAGAAGTGACAGAGGCAGGTGATTCGGAGGGAGAGCAGAGCTATTTTGTGTCGACTCCAGATGAGTACCCTGGGGGGCATGACAGAGACGACGGCTCGGTGTACGGGCAGATCCACATTGAGGAAGAATCCACCCTCAGGTACTCTTGGCAAGATGAGATTGTACAGGGGACCTGGAGGAGAAGGAAGAGGGATGGAGCGGGAGGCGAGGAGGCTGTGAAGCCCCTGAATATACCAGCAGCCTCTCTGGAGGAGGACCTGAGTTCTACTCACTGGAAAGAACAAGCTAGAAGTGGTGAATTTCATGCTGAACCCACAGTCATTGAAAAAGAAATTAAAATACCCCATGAATTCCACACCTCCATCAAGGGCATCTCTTCCAAGGAGCCCCGACGCCAGCTGGTGGAGGTCATTGGGCAGCTGGAGGAAACACTTCCTGAGCGCATGAAGGAAGAGCTGTCCGCCCTGACCAGAGAGGGCCAAGGCCAGCCGGGGAGCATCTCGGTGGATGTGAAGAAAGTCCAGGCCTCTGGTGGTGGCTCTGTGACACTAGTTGCTGAAGTCAACCTCTCACAAACGGTGGATGCTGATCAGTTTGACCTGGAGGGGCTGAGCAGAGATGAAGCTAGTAAAATGGAGAAAGCCGTGGAGTCGGTGGTGCAAGAGAGTCTGACCAAGCGACACAGCTCGGCACCCGGAAGCCCAAATGGGGAAGACGGAGTGGAGGCCCCGGCTACTGGCATCCGCTTCAAGCGCTGGGCCACCAGGGAACTATACAGCTCCTCTGGCGAGAGGGAGGATGCTGGCCAGGCCTCTCACAGCTCAGCACGGCTCACCTCCCAGGGCCCCGTGTCAGCCACCGTGGAGGTCAGCAGCCCGAGAGGCTTTGCCCAGTCTCAGGTGCTGGAGGACATGAGCCAGTCTGTAAGGCACATTAAACTAGGCCCCTCTGAAGTCTGGAGGACTGAGCGAGTCTCTTATGAAGGACCCGCTGCAGGCGTGGTGGAGGTAAGTCGGGGAGGTGACCTAGGTCGGGCAGCAGGCACTGGAGCCAGCCGGTCTGTGAGATACCTTACGTTGGGTCCTGGTCAAAGTCAAGTGTCCAGAGAAGTCTTCTTCCGAGGCTCTGACCCTGCCTGTCAGGAGGCGGGAGGCCCAGAAGAGCCTGGCCCGGCAGAGTTTTCCATAGACACCAACAGACTGGGGAGGCGTAGCACATTTGGCTCCAAACAATTTCATGCTGAAAAGGAAATTATTTTTCAGGGTTCCATTTCTGCGGCAGGGAAGGTTGGTGATTATTTTGTAACAGAGGAGTCAGCAGGTACCCATACTTCTGTAAGGTACCTCCAGTTAGGCCATAAAGAAGGGCTTAGTGAGCAAGTTCACCTCACAGCCCCACTTTCAGATGAGGTCGAGTTGGGTGACAGAGGAGGTTCTGTACACACCGAAGAGTTGCCAGTGCACAGCATGAACAGCAGGCACACCAATGACGGGCCTCAGGGGCACCAAATCACCCAGCATATAGTTTGCCAAGGGCTGGTTTCCCCACCCATGGAATTTAGTGACCCAGAAAGCACTGTCCACAAAGAGGGCTCAGCAGATGTGACCAAGGCCACTCATACCTTGGGTAGAGAAACCTTCATGACTGAAAAGAGCATCTTCCAAAGGGTCATTTCCAAATCTCCTCGGGAGGACAATGTGGGGGACACATCGGGGACATCAGGCATCAGCAGATCCTTTAGGCACATTCAGCTAGATCCTAAAGAAACTGAAACCTTTGAGCAGGTTTTCATCCACGGCCCCGTGTCCAAAACTTTAGCACCTGCCAATTCAGCAGACTCCCCTGAGCTGGGTGAGTTAACAGATGGCAGTAGAATGCTACAGCATGTTACACTGGGGCCCAAAGAAACTTCGTTTACCTTTCAGATGGATGTGAGTAACGTAGAGGCCATCCGCAGCTGGACGCAGGAAGCAGAAGCTCACAGTGGTGCCTGGAGAGACGCAGCCAGTAGGAATGAGCAGGCCGCGGGTGTGAGCGTTAAGGCCTTTGCTGGGGAGGGACCCCAGGCTCACGGGGAACAGGGCAAGGAGCAGGCCGAGTTTGATAAGACGGTGCAGCTGCAGAGGATGGTAGACCAAAGGTCGGTGATTTCGGATGAAAAGAAAGTTGCCCTCCTCTATCTAGACAATGAGGAGGAGGAGAATGATGGGCATTGGTTTTGAGAACAGAAATATTTTGTTTTAAATGGCATCTTATGAGTAACATACCAACACACAGAGGCCTTAACTTATTTTAAGGTTGGGGGGTCCTCACTATTAACCCCTCCTTTTTTTTTTTTTACATTCTATAAAGAGAGTCCTCCAGGTAACATCCATTTAATTTATAGTTAATCTGTAAAGGTTTCTAGTTAATTCATGCCTCAGAAGGCACTGGAATTTTATTTTTGAGTTGAAGCTTTTACAAAACCTTTTCTTCCTGGAGTTTTCTCTCCGCTTCTGGGGACAGTTTCTACCAGTTTTGTACCTGGACACAGACATGGCTTGCATCAGTTTGAAACTACAACTGATGGTCTGTCAGCAAGATGCCTAAATATTAACAAGATTAAAGTAATATACTTCAGAGTAGATTTTGCTTGCATGTGCTAACATGAAATAATACACTAACATTTTAAGGTAAAAAGAAATACATTTTCCTCTTTCCAGAAAGAAATCATAGGAAAGAACAGACTGTTATATTAAAATTTTTTTTCTTTCTTTCTTTTTTTTTTTGCTAAATATTTTCCTCTTTAGGAAAAGTTACTTGTCATATAGAGTTAAGTTCACTTTAAGACTTGAACGGATTACCTTCTATGTGCAGAACTTTAAAACAATATGGTATTTTGTTTCTGGAGAGGACAACCGTAGTCTGTTGTGAATATTCCACATTTTGTTTGCACAGGTTCTCCTGCCCTGGCTCGCGGGTGGGAGATGATTCTTGGGAATTGCCTATAGCACCGTTTGATTTTTGAGGCACTAGGTTGTCACACAGCACACAGTCTGAATACTCATTTTTGTTAGCACCTGAGTTCGGAGTGGCCACCTCTTCTCAGTCTGTGTGTCCTGGAGCTTCTCTGCACTTTAGCCCTTAGCACCCAAATGTTTAATTTTACTGGTGGGAGGCAAACCCTGGAGATGATGAAAAGAATGTTGGTGCTCAGACAGCAGCTGGACTAGCAAGTTGGTCATGAACAGAAAATTGGAAACACAAGGTGGATGGTGCCTTTCTCCACACCACTCCTGGGGGAGGCCTTTCTGAGCTCAGAGCGTGAGAGGTGAAAAAGTAACAACCACCTCACAGAAGCTTTCTTGCCCTTTCTAAGAAGTCACCATAGCTGGGGTGTTTTGTCCAGGGAAACAAATAGCATATTAAATGGCAAAAGATGCTCTGGGGAGGGAACTGGGTGCCTCTTCTGCAGCCCAGCTCTGAAACACCCAAGCTGGGCTCCGGAGGAGGACAAAGGCCCCCATGCTCATGGGCTGCAGGATGTGGGTCTGCAGATATGTGCCACCAGGTTGAAGACAGTAGGATGAATGCGCTCTGTTGGATTTGTCTTATTTTACATATGGGTATTATCCCTAAAGCTTCCATCATTAAGGGTGTAGCATCACATAAAAATAGTATCTTTAGTAGCACTGCATTGCTTTAGTCTGGGCAGTTTCTTTCACATGATACTGTCTAAACTGTACTTCCTAGAACACAGTATCCTAGAACTGACGAGTGCACTGAGGAATAATGATCCAAGATAACCCTACTCTCAGACGGGTTCTGATGACGGCATTGGAGGGTCTGCCCTCTCAGATTCACTTGGCCCTCGGACACCCAAGGTGCACATCTCCTCAGGTCCTGGAAGTGACCACAGCGGGGAGTTTATGGAGAGTGCATTTTCTTAATTGATGAAGGGAGGAGAAATGCAGCACAGCTCTCAAGATGATCTGTTTTAAAAATAGCATGAATCAGAGCATGGAAAAAAGGTTGATTTGAATTTAAAGTTTAAGCCTTTGTTATCCCTCTGCAGATGAACTAGTGATTGTTAAGCTGGGACAGAGGTGACTGCCTTGCACAGAGTTGTCCTTTCTAATACAGTCTGGTTTGATTTTAGTTGTAATTGGTAATGGTATTTGTATAAATGATTTAATGAGAATGTGGTCAAGGTAGCAACCTCCTGGTGGCAAGATAGACTTGAAATGAGTCTATTATGAGTCTAACTGGGCTTAGTTTCATGTCAATATCTAAGCTTGTGACCCTGTAAATGAATGCTGATGTGAATAGGTAATTAATATCCTGACTCACTTCTGTTGACTTTGGGAATAAATATCTTAGATCTTAATTTTCATCTTGAAGTTGGAAGGCATAGAAATATTAAGAATATCAAGAAATATTCTGCCAGAAGTACTTACCAGCATGGAATCACAAGCTGTCATTCGTTACTAAGTATCTGAGTTACCCAGGAGTCCTCGACAGAATGACACCGTAAAGGTTCATGTTCTTTAAAACCAGTAACTCAAGACAAGAGAAATCAACTTCATGGTTGGAAGATGCAGGAACATAACCAGTCTTTTCCTATTTATTGTTGTTTAGACAAAACAGTATTCATTGAATGTTTTTCAACATCCTACTGGTTGTTTTGATATTGTTTGTTTAAGATGTATATTTAGAATGGAATCATCTAAGAAGCTTATTTTGCTAACCTCCTGTTCCCTACAAAAGAAAATGTCTCAAGAATGTGTAAAAATAAAAATCTGAGGGAAAAAACCCACATTGTTCTTAAGGAAAATTAATGTTTTTCAGTAGATTTTGATATGGTGTCTTTTACACTCTAAGTAGAGAATCTGTTTACATGCATACAGTATTTTTAGGGTAGCACAGAATTACTGGGGAGAATATATAGGAAAAGTTCCAGATCTCTAATTTCAAATCAGAGCTCAATGCTGTCAGCACAGAGCTAGAAAGCATGGCAGACAGCATAAGCCAATTGGCTTGTATTCAAATATAGACTGGACAGTTTGTGGAAGAAATGTTATCATTACAGCCTGGAAGACTAGTGCCAGTAGGACATGACCAATCATCCTGTTTTTCTCAGGATGGAGGGGTTTCCTGAGACACAGGAATTTCAGTGCTAAAATCAGAACTGTCCTGGGCATACTAGGACAGTTGTTTATCTCGTAAGTACAAATTGGAGCATTAATTAATCATGGCCATTTCTTGGGAGTTTAAAAAAATTGAGGTGGTTTAAGACAAAGGAGTAGCAAGATGATCTTTACCTGTTTGTAACCTTTTAGGCTTTTACCCAAAATACAAAAACACGAATAGCTGTAGTATTTCTCTCTTGTTGAAGTTGACAGATTTAATGGATGGGAGACATTTGGTGGAACATTCCTAAATTCATTCTTTCCCGGAGTGGGGGACTAAATTTTTAAAATATGTTTTAGCTTTTGTGATTCCAAGATACCCTCCAAGAAATACAGAAAGGAAGAACCAATCAGAATTCACACTTCTTTTAAAAATCCAGCATGGACTCTTAGTTCAGGTTGGTGAAACAGAAAACAATAGCCTGGTGGCTTAAAAAACATTTATTTCTCACAGTTCTGGAGGCTGGGAAGTCTCAAGATTTGCTTCCTGGTGAGAACTGTCTTCCTGGCTTACAGACAACTGCCTTCTCGCTGGGTCCTCACTTGGTGGAGAGAGATCCACAATCTTTTCATATAAAGGCATTATCCTTATAATGGCAATATTCATCAGAGCTCCACCCTCATGACCTAATCACCTCTAATACCATCACACTGGGGGCTAGGGCTTTAACATGAACTGGGCAGGCGACACAAACATTCAGCCCATAGCAGACCCCACTTGTGTCTTTAACTGTACAGGACACTTGGTGACTAGTGACTGTACCTCGTGCTTTTTTTGCACATTGCCATCATCCTACAGACCTGGGTCTGGGACCAGTGAGTACCAGCAGGGATGGCCTGTGTGGTCAGCTGTCATGCTCTGAAGAAGACAAGGGACCCTGTGTCTCTCTACCCTAGCTATGGTTCTTTTTCTTTTATTTCTGCTATCAATTCTTGAGGTGATGCCTCGCACAAATGGACCCAAGGTGGTTTGGGTTTCCCACTGGGGGCCAGAGGGGAAGGGCCTGTGCTGCAGTCTGCTGCCATCTTAATACCACCCTGCAGTCTCACTGGCCACGGTCCTCACTGGGAGGAGGGAGAAGAAGGGATGGCACTGCCCACACCTGCACCCCAACCTCTGAGGTCCCCATCTACTGTGTTCTAGCACTGGATCTTCTCATTGACAGCAAGGAGAAAGATGCTCATATCTTCTCACTTGAATTTGCTATTCTCACACCATTATGGCCTTCCCCCCATCAGGAGGTTGAAGATCACTGTGAACAAAGGGCCAGAGGCTGTGTCAACACAGGAAGCAGCTCCAGGGGCAGGCTATATTTGTTCTGCCTGGAGCAGAGGCCATGGGAGGGATGGGAAGTGGCAGGGAGTTGGCAACCCTCTGCTATATCTTCCCACTTGCCTTTCTTTCTTCTCACATCCTTACACCTGTCTCCCCTAATCCCTGGGCCAAGTCTGGTGTGCTGGCCATCCGCTCCATCATACCTGGCTCTTTTCCTCTGTTGGAATCACTGCCATTCACCGATCCCACGAGCAGACGGTTAATACCTGCCTAGTGCCCCGCTGTACGGCGACTGTGTGTATCTGGTTTACTGTTGTGTCCCAGGTCCTAGCATACACCTGGAACATACCAGGTGCTCAATACAATTTGAAATGACTGAGCACATGGATGGAGGAAGCTGTCTCCCAGTCCCTTTTCAGACTCTGAAGATCTCTGAGGCAGACTTCATTTCAAAAACACAGGTTGACACCAGCACTTCCAAGTTGCCTTTATTAGCACTTTATTCTCAGTCCCTATTAGCGTTCTACAAGAAAGGGCTTTTTCCAGAACATTATTGTTCCAAATCTGACTCCAGACGTGTGCGAGGAGCCATGATGTGTACAATCGACTTTCCTGCACAGGAGGTTCTGAAATTCTGAAGTCTTTCAGCTGCAGAAGTGCTGATGAGTAAAAATCCTTGTTGGCAAGAAAAACCACTTAGGTGATAAAAAGAAAAATATGTTATAGCATATATATCACCCTGAAGGGCATCCACTGTTAAAATGTGGCCCCCGGGAGGTTTAAGGTATCACTGATGCATGTTAGAGCAAACATTTGGCCTTGAAAATCTGCATTCTGACTCCTGAATTCCATCTTCTTGTAGAGAGATTTGTATAGCACCTTCAATGGCAGTGCCGGGCCTGCCCCAAGCTTGCTTTGGGGTAGGGGGGTCTCAGTCCGCTGTGCTGGTCCTGGCCTTCCCCAGCACAGTATGCTGAGGGATGCTGGTGCCAAAGGCCACTCTGGCTTTTGAAACTTGTCTTGGCTTTGTGGCAACCTCAGGGGTCCTGCAAACAAGCAGAGGATGGGGTAAGCGGGCACCCCCTCAGCCCTCCACATGGTTTCTACCCAGCCTTTGCTGCTGTGAGCCAGGCTAGCAACTGCCCAGGTCCATGTCAGGAGCAGTTTCGAGGGGTGTGAAGAGAGGAGGCTCATGGCACAAGAGCACAGCACATTAGAAGTTCTCCTCCCACGTTTACTTCCTCGCAACCATCTTTGATGAGCTGAGGCAATCAGCCCCTAGCTGGCTTGGTGAACAGGACATGAGCAAAGAGGATTGTCAGCCTCCTTGGCTGACCTTCCCTGCCCTAAAAGAGGCCAGTGCTGCTCTCTACTCCAGGCTGCTGCCTTGCTTCCCTGAGCATGGACTCAGCATCAGCATGAGACTGGTGGGGGACACAGGCTCTGTGAGGTGGGCCCTCCATAGCAGAGCGCTGGGCCTCTGCTCACAGGCTGAGAAAGCATGTGGCAGCCAACTTTCAAGGTCAAATCAGCGGACTCTCCAGTTGAAGTCCTGACAGTTACCCAACGGCGGAGGGAAGCCCAACGCAGGGATCTAGGAGGCCAAGTGAGTGTGCTGAGATCCCCACTCCAGCAGGTGCCTCAGCCTGCATGGGGCTGGTCTATGGGAGAGTGAAATCCAGTGTGTTTCTGACTTAAAGGGCAAATTCCTTTCTAATATATGGGCAAGGAAGATGTTTTACAACTGGGTTTTCAAAGAAGCTGGTCTTACATTTAACTATGCAAGTTATGGGAAGTCAGTCAAACTTTTCACAGAAGGTACCACAGAACCTTCTAGAAACAGCTTCCTCTGAGATTCTGAATAGAGAAGGTATGTGAGATGCTCAGAGGAGGACGTGTGAGAGAAAGCCAACTCACGTGGACAGGATGTCCAGGGTCTGCTGCGTGGCTAGAGTCCTCTTGTCCTGTGGTCCATACAAGAGGGTCTGAATCTGAAGACACTGCAGAATACCAAGTAGTAATCATGAGATTATGGAAAGGCCACTAAGAACATTTTGCAGGAGAATAAAGTCTCCCTTGAATGAAAGAAAAAGTACTTCATTCTTAGACGCATACTTTGAAGGAACTTTCTCGGGGTTTCTCCTAGGGACAGTCTGACCTTTGATTTGGATGTTCTGAGGGATCTAGGAAACAAATGTTCAGTATTCACGCTATTTCTTAAAACTATCTTATGCCAAAAAAAAAAAAAAACTTTAGTATTTAAAAAAAAATAAAGACAAGAACCTTGGCTTCAGTTTCTATTTTTATATGGCTTTTGCCCAGGAAAGTTTTTTAATAAATGGTTTTGTTTCTTGCAAACAAGTACCTTATTGTTATATGGGCTTTCTGTACTCACAGGTACACAGCAGTTTCTTAGTTGTTAGGAGTTAAATATTCAGCTAGTAGATTGTCCAAGCCTGGCTTTGGCTTGATTTCTCCCTTAGGCTTATTTTGTCTTGCCATTTGATTGCAGCGCAAACTCAAGGAGAGGAAAAAGATTAAAGTTGTGCCCAAAATGGCCAAAATAATTTTGAAAAAGAATGAGGTAAGGAAATTGCTTTACTAGATGCTATGACTTTTTATAGAACTACAGTATTGGCCAGGCTCGGTGGCTCAGCCTGTAATCCCAGCACTTTGGGAACCCAAGGCAAGTGGATTGCCTGAACGTGTGGGTTCGAGACCAGCCTGGGCAACTCTACAATAAAAAAATTTTTTTTTGCTGGGCTTGGTAGCGCACACCTATAGTTCTGGCTACTTGGAAGGCTGAGGTAGAAGGATCGCTGGAACCCAGCAGGTTGATGGTGGAGTGGCCGTGAGTGTGCTACTTCACTCCAGCCTGGGCGACAGAGTGAGACTCCAACTAAAAAAAAAAAAAAAAAAAAAAGCAAAGCAAAACAAAACAAGAACTACAGTATTAAGACAGTGTGGTTTTCAGTCAGGGGTAGACAAAGAGACCAATGGAACAGGGCAGAGAGCCCAAGATATGGCAGATGACAGAAAAGCCCCTGCAGGATTGATGAGGAAAAGGTGGGCTAGTCAACAAATGGTACTGGGACCACTGGTTTTCCAATGGAAGAAAATAGATCACTATCCCATGCAAAACACAAAAATTAATCCCAGGAAGACTTGAAGAACTACTGTGAGATGTAAAACTTGGAGATTTTAGGTAAAAATATTGGAGGATATTCTTCTGATCTTGAGGTATGAAAGTATTTCATAGACAAGGTCTGGACAAACCCAAAATAAAGACTGATAAAATGTAACTATATGAAGACTCAAAACATCTGTGCACCAGAGTTCACCATAAGCAAGCACAAAGACAAACTACACCGAGGAAAGAAATGTGCAATACACAGAACTGACAAAGGCTTAATATTCAGAATACATAAAGAACTCCTATAAAGTAATGAGAAAAACCAAGCCAAAGCAAAACCTCTCAATTGAAAAATGGTCAAAAGATGTAAACAGATTCTTCAAAGAGTTGACAACTGGCCAATAAACATGCTTAATCTTATTAATAATCAGAAATGCAAACTACAATTTCAGGAGGTGGGTATCACTTTACCCATAAAATTGTAAAAATTTGTAAAAACTATGATGATACTAAGCTTTGTCAAATATTCAAATAAATAAGAACTCTTACATATTGATAGTGGGTATTAAAATTGGTGTTACCCCTTTGTAGAATAATTTAGCAATAGTTAGTAATAATGGTATGTATATCATGATTTACATATGCATTGTATTATATCATATGTATGTGATAACATACTAATGTCAGATAATAGGTATATATATGCATACATACAAACATAGATTAATCTCATAATTATGAAGTCAACGGGGAAAAAGAAAATTGCAGATGGATGGATATAATATATAGATAATTTATATGAAGTTTTAAACCATGTAAAACAAAACTACAGTAAAATGAAAAAAGCATGGGAATGATATCAAATTCAAAATAGTCATTATTTGGGGCTACGATAGGTATACAAGGAACTTAAACTGTATGTCATGTTTTATTTCCTATACTGAATAGTAAATTCAAAGGTATTTGTTATATATCCATACTTTTCTGCATATCTAAAATGTTTTATAATATATTTTTAAAAGATCAAATTAATTTTTCGACATAATAGCTTGAGTCAAGAAAGGTGTGAGGGTCTGGGGACTTAGTACTGAAGGCTGTTTATTCATTCTGATCAACCATTTTTAGGTCTTCAAGAAAATTAAAATGCAAGCAGCCAAAATGCTTTGTCTTTATAAGCTGTGGAAAATAGCAAAGTGAAATGTTTCAAACTGAGGAAATGAGAATGTGGTTCTGAAATCTGAGAATGTGGTTGTCTTTAGAGGAAGGAAATATCAGATGAGACTAGGACAAGCTTTTTTAAATAACAGAAAATAATCACTATTTCTTAGTTGACTTCTATAGCAACAGGAAGTAGTAAACTATTATTTTATTTAGTACATAATTCAAATTCTGCAAAGGCAAGAATCCCAGCCCCTCTGTCTAATAAGCCCCCTCCCTTTCTAAGTGTGCACTGGGCCTCGGCCTGGCATAGGCACCGAGCTCCTCATTCCATGGGGTTGAACCAGCACTGCTCTAATCCTCAGATAGAGTGCTCTGACCCTGGACATTCAGGAACCTTGAGAAAGCTCTGTTGCTTTGAGGGAAGGGGTAGGGACAGGTTTTTCACACCAGTAATAATTGATGAAAACCCTTCCAGCACCCCACTTGGATTACAGCTATTGAAAGCCTGGGTACATCTCCGGTTAACAAGATGAAGCTTACTCCATGCTGGGCCTGTTAGAGGAGAGGTCTTGAAAGGGACAGCAAGCAAGAGAGGCAAGATGCTTCCTCTCACTCACTGCCAGTCAGAGAGACGCCTTTCTCTCAAGGGCTAACACTGCTTACCGGAATAGACTTCATTTTCTCCTCCATGCTCAGAAATACCTTCAGTCGGTGCAAAAGATGAGGGCTAATTTTAAAGCCACTCGAACTTCTGTGTTTACATATGTATGAGTGCCTCTGACGCAGTTCATTTGAGAGGAACTGATGTCGACAAGGCTTGGTGTTAATTCATTCGCTGTGGCATTAGGATTTCACTGACACTGTAACAATTGATTGAGACAGCCCAAGGTCTCAGTTCACTCTGCCTTAACAGATGGCTTTCAAAATCTAATACTCATCATCCCACACCTTTGGTGATTGAAGCTTCTTCTCCCTGGCCCCTCATTCTCTAGGGAAAGAGATACCATTTTGATAGAACTCATACAAATTCTCAGTGATTCTACTACCACCACACACCCCTGCCATTTTTTTCAGACCTTGTACACTGATCATTTTCACTGGGGGTGTTATTGAGTAGAGATAGTGGAGTTAGGAGGGGGATTGCGGTGGGTAAAGTGACCCTTTTGAGTAAACAAGTCCTGGAGAGGTAAGTCCCATCTCCATCCTAGCCCTAGACCCCAGTCAGAGCTCTCGTGTTCTGGTATTAATAGATGTTTCTTTTCTGAGGCTACTTATCCTTCCTAAGGATATTTATTCAAAATTCCAGCTGATGTGAGAAGAGATACAAAGGAATGTCAACTAGGAGACAGAGACAGATCCTTAGCACCCCCCCAATCCCTCTTAGGGTAACAGGGTCCAGGAGGCAAGAACAGGCACCAAGATGGGACAAAATGGTTCATCTATCAACTGAACTACTCTTAAAAGGATACCTTTTTAAGATAACAAAATAACCCATTATGGTTTTCTACTAGAGAATGTTTTATATAGCTGCATATTTACCTAAAAAATATAAATTGAAGTTTTCAGTGTTCTCCTGTTCTTAGCTAAATTTACTTAAGCATTTTAATGGTGAATTAGGTGTTTCAGTTCTTTTGCTAAAAACATAGGCATTCACAGAGAAGAAGTCAATAAATGTTAACTGAACTTACCAGAGCTAGGCATTGTAGACACCTCACTGAGCTAAGTCAAGACCTCACTAAACCTTGACATTAGAACATTCTCCACCATGAATAAAGAATCCTGTGTGCTCTGGATTCTTCTGAGAGGCCCATGCACACCTCTTTGAAATCAACCACCAAAGGGTGTTTTTCTCACTTTAAAGTGAACATTAAATGGTAATTCTGAGTATCTAGATGATGTTTAGGGTGCCATTACATTGCTGTCATTCTCCTTGATTTTTTATGCAAGGGTTATGAGAAGTCACTTGTGTGTCTAATATTCCTTAAATACCAAAGAAGAAGCTCTTCCTTCTCTTGCAGGAAGACAGAAGGGAATGTCTGCTTTTACCCTAGTCTGCAGGCTGTCCCCAAATGGGGCCATCTTGCTCACCATTGGTTTCCAGAATCTTGCACAGTCCCCAGCACGCAAGTAGAAGCAATAGTTACTAAATGAATGAATGGATGATTAACAGAAAAGCTGGGGAAATTCTTATGTGGAGCCTTAAGACATGGCTGGACCATAGGACTCCAGTGATTCATCAGTTACTAAAGCCCCTGGTAGGGAAGTTCCCATGTGAGCACGGTGCTAAAAACCTTCAGCATCAAAATCCAGGCATGTTCAAGAGTAGAGCATGTTTGCTATTTACTGCTTTTTCTTAGGAGTCATGTATAAATTTGGGTAGTTAAGAGACAATGAACATTTGATGCCAACTTTGAAAATTATTTTGAACATGACTTTGAGGTTTGAATGCTAAGTTCTAAGGAGGTCAGGAGCCAAGGAAACTAGGACAGGTGTCATCAGTTTGCTGTTTTCCTAGCTATGGTGCCTCAGAGAGCACCCTTTCCAGTGTGGACAGAGGGGTGGCTCAGTGGCAGTTACAGCACAGGGTTAGCTAACTCAGTATACTTGGGCTTTAAAACACCACAACACTTAAATACCCAGAAGCATATATTTCTGTTTTGGGGGATCTCCGAAGATGTGCAGTCATTACCCGGGTCATTTACTTAG